CCTTGTTTTTTTTTTTTTTTTCATTCATTAACCAACAGTACAGTTGTTAAACTTTATTTCTGATCGATAATAATAAAATTATTTTTGATCGGATGTAATTGCAATATTCCGGTTGAGGACACGATACTTCTCAATATTTATTTCGTACGGGAATATAAACTGTCAAATGTGTTTCGCGGCGGAAATGCGATAAAAAAACGTGTAGAAAACGTGTTCTAGTGATTTTCGGCAAACATTTTTGCATTCTGCTTGATTAAGAATCGCGGCGATAACGAATTGAAGGATCGGAAACAAGATAAAAGAATGCAGAAACTCGTGCAAGCCGTGCAGTTGCCCGGTCGCGTATTGAGGTGGAATATAAGCTCCGATAAATCCGGTTGCGCAGTTAAAAATTGATGTAGTAGTTTCGGAAGTGCACGGGGTCGGCGGTTAAGTCACGTATGTAGTCAACGGTAAACGGAAACCCATATCAATAAGTATCGGTTGTGTGCATCGGGATCCGCGCGCGCCAGCGAGCTGGAGAGGAAGCGAAAGAGAGGGAGGGAAGGAGGAAGAGAGAGAGAGAGAAAGAGAGGAGGGAGATGCCGCATCGTGCAGGGGTTATATAGAGAGCAGCTAGTCGATGGGATGGCGGTTCCAATGTCGGGGGTAAAATAATGGGGGCGGACGCTCGACTCGAAACATTGATGTTGCCCAGCGCGCTTACAAACACACCAACACCAATCGAGCATGGCTCTTCCTACACAAAACCGATGTAGGGGGCTCCGTTGGCCAGGCGGCCGGTTGGCTTTGCAGGAGAGGAGGAGGAGGAGGAGGAGGAGGAAGAGAGGAGAGAAGAGGAGAGGAGAGGAGAGACAGGAGAGATAGGTAGGGAAGAGTAGCGGAGAGCACAGAATATCAGGAGAGAGGCGCGGAAGAGAGTAGGATGTCCCGAGGAGGATGAGGGAAATACGCATATATACTTATACAGCGTTCTATGCCATCGATGCGGCTCGTGTTTAACGCCCTTATAAATGTGTAATGCGTATACTTGAAAGCGGTAAGCGACGAGAGGGGGAGGGAGTCGCGGAACCAGAGAGCAGAGGCAGAGGACCGGGCGTAGGACGTACCCGCAACGTCGGGGTGGGCCCTCCGCGTATCGATAAACGATCAATCAACTGGTACACCTATGGACGAGGCCACCGAGGGTAAAAGAGGCGGCGGTGGCAGCGGAAAGGGAGCGGTGGAGACGACCGGAGGAGAAGGAGGAGGAAGTGGAAACGGAGGACGACGTAGGGGAAGGAAGCACAAGGGATGAGAGAACGGCACGATGGTGGGCAAAGATGGGTATGTGAGAGGAAGGATGGAAGGGGTTGAACGGAAACAGCGGCGGTAGGGGCGAAAGACAGAGGAGGCACGAGAGACGCGGAGTGAGGAGGTTGGTGCGGGGGAGGGTGGCGGCTCGCAGAGTATCGACCCATCGCGGAGGAGAAGGCAGCCGCCAGGGTCGCCGTCGCTGGGGTTTTGTTGATGTAGGTGTATACGTTCCGCGTATATATATCTGTCTATATCCAGATATCTGCGCGAAGACGCTGCTACACGAGACTGAGTTTCGTTGTTCGTATCGAAGGGGATGCGAAATCGAGTCGTTTTTTTCATGCTTTAATCTCATTTTTTATTAGGCACGTCACACCGGTGTTCCACGATCTTTCGAACGCAAACGTTCTCTCTATTCAATCTTTATCTCCTCGAATAATATGAGAGACTTGCGGTAGAAACACAGCTCTAAGCTCCGGAGATATATAAGCGCGTCGTGAATCATCGAACAAGAGTATATATGATGCATAGCGAGATTTTAAATTAAATGAAAAAAATCTCTTAAATAAAAAAAAAAAAAAAATAAAAAAAAAAACAAAAACTAATCTACTTTCTATGAAGTTTTACAATCTCCGCTGTTACTATCTCTTCGCTCTTTAAGCCGGAAAGTATTTCCGAACGCGTTCCTAACGCGTGGCCTCGCACATTTATCCTCAAACGCTCACGTAAGACGACAAGGGACGCGATTAGGAGAAGAAACGCGGTCATGGAAGTAACCGAGACGAATTATCTGCGATTACATGCACGCTGAATATTCTAAAGGGTATATCGTGACGTCGCATCACTCATGCACCGTTAATCGCGTTAACGACCCCGAGCCGCCGCCTGTTACGCTTCACGTTCTCAGCGTCTTCGGCGTTGTCGTCGTTATGTGTTGCGTACCGTGAATGATGTGTTCAGCTCGGGGTGGCTCTCGTTTCGGATCGTATCGTCGTCGCGCGTATGATTTCTCACCCTTCTTCGCGCATTCCTACTTCAGCGATGCTTGACGCGCACGAGAAGAGAGGGAGGAACAATGCAGTAGCCACCGAGAAAGAGAGAGAAAGAGAGACAAAAAAAGAAAGAGAGAGAGAGAGCAGGACTACGTGGATCTGCCCATTGTAGGGTCAGGTGGGTCGTTGGTCGGCGAAGAGCTCGTTGGCTGGCTTCGCGGGGTGTGGCCACATAACCATAGCCGCAACGGTTCTCTTCTCTTTCTCTCTTCTCTCTCTCTTCTCTCTCTCTCTCTCCCTCTCCCTCTCCCTCTCTCTCTCTCTCTCTCTTTCGCTTGTTCGCAATTTCTCCTCTCGTTTCATCGTCGCACTTGTCCGCCGCCGCCACGGGAGCGTTTCGTCTCGCTCCCGCTGACCGAGCTTACGTACAGTCCGACCGTACTGATAACAATAGGGACCTCTCCTAGCTCTCTCTCTTTCTTTCCCGTTTATTTGTACTATCCTCAGACGTTCCCCTTTCTGCCCGGAGCCGGTGCGCGCGCGGCAGTAGGGATACCGCCAGTGCGTGCACAGAACCGGGTGTGCTACCAAGCAGGCGCATCGTCGGCCTATTACAATGGCCAGCCCTCCTAAACGTTTTCATTGTCATCAGCGGCGTTCCCTCTGCCCATGCGTCGATGCGCACGAACCATTGTTTTGCGTCGAATGGGCGGCTCTCTCTCTCACCGGCTCGCACACCGACGCCACCATCACTGGTGACGCCAGGCAAGGCGTGAGTTTCTACCTTGTATAGACCACCTCTTTCTCTCTATCTATCTATCTGTCTGTCTATTTCTATAATTGGTAGTCTCTGTTAATCGGTTTTTCTTAGTTAGCAAGAGAACAACTGTCTTTCTTACAAAGTAAAGCGGTAATTAGTGATATGACAAATTTATGTCAGACCTCTTTTCACATTTATACACATATTAATTTTTGCTTAAATAAATTACACCGATCATATCGGTGTAATTTATGCATATACATATATCTCACATTGTAATAATACATCTCTGTCGTTAGATCTGATTAAGCAATCGTTCTTTCTAAACTCCGGCGTGTAACATGTACACAGGCGGCTGCTTTCATACTAATTAACGTATGTTTATCACCACTTTGCGTTTGCGCGATTTCCGCACTTTGTTTTGCCCTTACTGTCCGTGTGACGCCAGTCCGGAGTTTATTTCTCTCTCTCTCTCTCTCTTTTTTTTTTGTTTTTGTTTTTTGCGGTAATTTATACAGCTTTCTACGAGCGCTGGGATAATCGTCGAGTGGATATTCGTCGCATTTAACATCACAGAAACGAGATATATCACATATCGCGCCATGAACTTGTTACCATGCTCCGCCGTGAAGCAGTGGATCTAATAATAAATTCCGAAGAGAGAGAAAGAGAGAAAGAGAGAGGTTTTCTTTTTTTTTTTTACACCTACGTGCATACCAATGACTTACGCGCGCCATCGAGTTATTTTCCTGCTTAGACATTCCACGCCCGATGAAAGACCAAGTCTCCATTCCGGAGCGACAAAAAACAATTATCGTGAAAACTGCATTCATTAATAACGGATAACGTATCATTGCATCGCGTCACGCAGATATATTCAGGTAGAACCGGTCGGGCCGACTCGATATGCGAATCTTTCAGATAAGCATGCATCGTCAAGTAAATCAGACCTTCTCTCGTTACACGCGTATTCTTAATGCAATATCCCCGACACATCCCCGACCGGGACACCGACTACAATCAACTACGGATCTTACAACCAGCGTTAAAGATAATGATCCCAGCGCCTGATAAGTATTAATAGTTAGTCGAGCTAGTTGCGCGCGTCGACGCACCGGCCGCACAAAAGAACGCGAGAAAGAAAACTGTCCGTCTCTCTTTCTTTCCTCTCTCGCGCTTCTCTCGTTCCATTATATTTAAGTGCCCCCGATTCGAAGACACGATACATTTGATCTGCGTAATGCATTTCGAATGCGAGCTTGATTTTTTGACGCGCGCAAAATGAAACGAGAGAAAAAAAAAACAAAAAAGAAAACAAAAAACAAAAAGAACGCAAGTTCCGATCCGTGATGCACTGTGGCGCGAAACTGTAATTATCTCAAATTCATCTCAAGAAGTGATCACGTATTCTTCTTGCTACATGATATTACCGATGATCTACAGTACATTGAAAATTGTAGTCTTCCGCGCGGCGTGCGATCGCGATCTTCTTGATTCACGTCCAGGGTAATAAATCTGCCTTAATGTTGGGTTATGAGGAAACAGTTATCGGAGTCTTGAAAATTTATCGGTTCTTTAACAATTTTCTGCTATTATCGTTAACGATCTCATTAACAATTCTTTTAATCCTAACAATTCAAACGGCAGTCCCTGCAACCTGACATTAGTGCGCCACGGTAGAAGAATTCGAGCACGGCGTGTGTGTACCTGTTGAACAACGAGACTTTGCGAATTTGCTTCATTGTTCCGAAGCGTAGTCTCGTCGATATAAATCTCGATGTAATATTATTCTGCTCACAAGTGCACGCACGATATAAATTTACACGATAATTTCTGTATAAAATGCAACTTTTTTTTTTTTTTTAATCTTTTAGTCGCGATGCAAGTTTGGTATAATTATATACAACAAGTATAGAGCAAGTCTTACAACTCGAGTACATTGTAACATAAATCTAAACGGTGTCGATACTGCGATTAATTGCTTGTTATTAAAATAATATTTCTTTTTTTAAATAAAATACATACCGCAATCTTTGCGCAATGTTGTTGTTTGATTGAATCGCTATTATTGCGAGGCGAGTATCATTGTTCTCTCGTGTCGCTCGATGGCTATTTTCTTGATTTGATCCCACAACAACGGATACGGATGAATCGTTCTGGTAAAATCAATACGATCCAAACGGTACAACTCGCAGGTCTCGACAGCGACGACGAAAGCTGTTCTTCGCTGGGCCGGCATCACCAGCACGATCTCCCCGAAGTGCGCTCCGTCCTCCAAGTGACACACTTCCCTTCCCGTGCTCGTGTAAATTGCGACCGTCCCGGTGCTGATGAAATACATGCAATCGCCCGGTTGATTGGCGCTCACGATAATGTCGTTCGCCAGAAATATCTCCAACTTCAAAAAGGCGACAATGCGCGCAAGTAACGCAAGCGGCAGATTCTTGAAGAACGTAACGTTCTCCACGAGTTTGCGACACGACTGCATGTTAATTTCCTGACGCATTTGCACAGGCAGACTGCTTAGGATTTCGAGCTCGCGAAAATAACGCTCTACGAAGTAGTACTCGTAGTAGATTGCGATACGACGTCGTGTCTGATGCGGCAATTGCCTATGTCTCATGCACTCGTTCAGATACGCCATCATGTCTCGATATTTTAATTTCGAACTGTTGCAAGTTCTGTGAAACTGTCTCACGCGAGCTATCAGAATCCACATGAGTAAACCGCCTGCGAGCTGAAAGATCACCAGTGACGTGAGATCGGTCTCGGTTTTCGGCTTGGTATCGGAGAAGACGGTGTCGACTGAGAAGAAGATCGGAACCGCACGTAAGATACAATACATGTGTCGTTGATTTTCAGATTCTTCCCAAAGATTGAAGGAATGCAACCAGGTGTCGTAATGGGGATATTTCGGTAGATACAAAGAAGTGGTCACAACCGGTATTATCCAGTACATAGAGATCTGCCAGTGTAAGGCAATTATCAGCCAAAAGATCGCAGAGCACATCTGGTAGAGAGTCGGTGGAACGTTGTGCGCGTAAGCGATGTTTCTCACGTAAGAATTTAAAGAGAATACGCGAAATCCGCACGTCAGCGATGCTAGTTCACGCGCGACCACGTATTCTTGCCAGACGGTGACAAATGCGACGTCAGTTGGTAGCGAGCCTATGAGGTCTAGCAGAAAACTACGTCTCAGATACTCCTTTATTATCTTTCTCGGCTTCATTACGACAATTTGCTGCGTCTTGTCAAAATATCTGTTTGATGTGAAAGATTATTACGATAAATGTTTAATCTTTTACGTTTTTTCTTAACGTTGTAATAGAAAAGTTGAGCGCAACAGAGACAAGAGAGTTGTGTGTGTAATAAAATATAAAACGTTCAGGAAATCTATGTGTGTACGTGTGCTAATAATAGATAAAGAATTTAAGTTTAAATTTACCCTGACATAAAATTAAACATTATGTCAACGCAACAAAGAAACAGAAGGACATTTTTGAAAACGGTCCAATAAATCGATCGTTCGTTCATTCTGAAAGCAGCTTGGTACGGGACAGATATGAGCAAGCAAATTATCGTTGCGATCATTATAAACTCCCAATAAAATCTGTGTAAAATCAAGTTTTTTAATTCTTTTTTTTTGAGAAATAAAAAAGTCATATATATATATATATATATATGCACGCAAATCGGCACATTTAGAGAAAATAACAATTTGGTAAATTCTTTAGCGCAAATATACACTGTAAAATATTTGTTACGAAACGTATACCTAAAAATACTTAAAGGGTGAATGATATGTCTGTGATTGCGCAAGTGATGTCGCCTTTCCGAGATTATTGAAACGTAACTGCGCAAATACTTGCGGGCACTTGGGTGTTTGTCTGATGCCATCAGAAGAAGATGTATCGTGTCACAAGCTTTACGAAAGAGGCCGCGATTAGGAAGAAAGTAGATTTTGTGATGTTCGGTTCCGATTTCGCATTCGTGTTTTACGCCGAGCATCGTGGAATCGTTTTAAAATGACAAATTGAAGACGCGGTGAGCAAAAATAAAGGATACAGTTTGCTAAATATATATTCGGCGATTTCTATTAATAGAAACGTCATTATATAAGCATAACAAAAACGAATCGTCGTTCGCAATGGCGCCATCTCTTCGATTGTAGCAGAAGCGCGCGTACTTTCAAATTCACGAAGAGAACGAGCGGTCGATAGTTGCGAGCTGTTGGATACGTGGAGAACATCATATTGCGATGTCCCGATCTCTTTCGGTATAGCATCGATACACGTTATCACGAAACTATCTGAGGGTAGAACAGAAAACATACGCAACTCTCTTTCATCCACAAGTGATAAAATAATTCTCTCTCTCTCTCTCTCGTGCTACTTAGATAAATTTTAATTGAAGCAAAATTATGCGGAGGACGAGACAGACTGCTAGATTGTCTACTGATAGTATTCAATCAATTCAATCGATTTCGCGCTTGTAGCTTCTTTTCTTGCGAGGACAGCACTTTATTCCTGTGTGATCAAGTGTATCAACACTTAAAAGTACTCGCGAAATCTGCAAAAAATAAAATACGAATGAAATATCACGTGCTCAACGTTTTTTTTTTATTTTCACGCAATTGTCTTATCTCTGTCGCGTGACGTCGAGTTGAAAAGTTAACGTTATCGTAGTAAAAAAAAAAAAACAAAAAACAAAAAACAAAAAATGAGTCTTTGCTAGCGAAGATCGCAAATTGCTCTCAAGATGGATGATACGTTTGCTTATACATGATATATACTAAGCATTGCTTTACAGAGGTCGGCTTTACGAGAAGGCTCAGACCTTCGTTGCGTGCATCGCATAAAGACAACCGTTCGGTGTGTGTATTCCGCACGCGGTGTGTATTCTCGATGTAACGTCGAGAGATTTTATAAACGATTTTATTTGTTCTCTATATACTTGTGCTCACACACGGAATAAACTCACCGTCAGAACCCTCTTGTGCTTGTTCAAGTGAGAACGATGGAAATATCTCTTGCCTCGCGCGCGTATATACAGAGAAAATTTAACATTTATGCTCCGTACCGATACACACACATGATGCGCACACACACAAACGGACAGACACACATCATACACACACATACACAGTTTCGTATTATCGCAAACGGAACACGCGGAGAAGCTTCTGCAAACATTTCAGTGCCGCGACGTTTCTTACGCAGATATCGTTGCCGGAGTTAAGGGAGTTTCGGGAAACATTTTATCCTAGACTCCCGGAAAATCTACCGGTTAAGCGGTGTACGCAATTTAAAGTCGCTACTTCTGTCCGTTCCCGGGGGAATTAAAGGTCAGACGCGGAGGCAAGTATATCGTCAGGAAGTCGAGTTCTCTCTCGGCAGCTTTTTTCCCTCCTATCCTGGTAATAAATTTTCAAGTCGTCCAGCGACGTCCTGGAACTCAGGAACGATGTTATAGACGGTGCTCGAGAACAAGAAGGGTGGTTACTCAGTCTACGTTTCACAACCCTCCGCACATACTAACGTGGATTTACCGAGGCCCATCCTCCGCGTAACGACGAGTGACTGCGGAAGAGTCTATATACGTGTTCCCTAGGTAGAAAGTTATGGGTGACCTCGTTGCTGTATCAATATCTCGTTAGGGGACCACGACGGGAAATAAAACCCGAAATGGTCCGTCTTTCTCTGGAACTGACCGAAACCGAAGCGAAATTATAATGCGTCCTGTGAATTATCCCCGCGTTTGTTACATAGGCGTTGTTATGTATGTTCGCGAACGTTTGAATAACACGGCGTATTAGTTGCGTATTGTATTGCACTATATTTATATAAACTGCAATCAATGATGGCAATATGTCGGAACACGAGCCGCGTATTGCGAAATCGGCTTATTGTATCAAGCTAACCGGAAAATGACGGAACTGTTTAAATTGTTACATAGCGTGTCTCGATACGTGCGCATTTACCGCGTTATCTATTGATAATTATCTATCGTATCCTCATTAGAGGGGAAAAAGATAACACACACACAAACATTTAACGACTTTTCTTGATTTTCTATAATTTCACCAAAACTAAATTGAAAATTATTTAATCGGTTGTAGAAGTGTGTGCGCGCGTGTAAAGTCCTATATCCCTAATTATCCTAATTACATTTATTTATAATACGATACACTCTGTGATGTTACATATAACACACACACACACACACACCGTCATATTGCGTGCGTTTCAGTTTGATACAGAGATGTATGTATTGATACAGAGATTTTATAGATCGTTTGGTTGTGTTATATTCAAAATTAACGGGAAAACTATCTGATCGAAATTTAATTATTCAAATAGCGTTTTGTGTCAATTAATGCGTCATCAAATATACGTATTGTTGTATTCTTAGATAATTAAAACGAAGTGTTAACACACTTGATTGCATGTGAATGCAACAGCTTTGTAGAAATAACACGTGAGTGAGAAATAAAACAAAAAAAAAAAAAAAAAAAAAGATGACGTGCAGCGTGAGTGACATAAAGTGATGCAATAAACACAGTAAAATATACAGCAAAGTGATATGTTCCGATACTTTTGTTTTTTCAAGCAGTATTTCTTTCTTATAAATATTTCAACGCGTGCTATATTGTTTTTTTTTTTTTTTGTCTTTCAGGTAGACTACGCGGATAGTCTTAACGCAATTGTCAGGGCCGGCGTGTTTCTTTTATATTTACGACGTAAGGGCGTGAACGAAGGTAATTCTTGCTTCCACCGCAATGATCAATAAACCATCCCGTCCACGCTGTTCAACGACGCTTTATACTTCGATGGATGTAACCGCCGGGGAAAGAGGCGGCAACTGGTGGTCGTAAGTACTTACGTACGTATATGGGTTCGGCGTGTGTGCACACGCAGCGAACTTACCAACGATATAATCAGCGGGTAGACGAAAACACTCGTCCCCGACCAAGGTTTGGCGTCAAATATATCAAAAATGATTGGAAACGTTGCGTCGCAGTTATTCAAAATCTATCACTGTTCGATCCGCTTGTATAAACGTGGTTTCGCAATTACTTTTAAGGATTTTGCGCGCTGTTTGTATCGATGTTTCTTATTTCTGCGCGAATAACAGTCGGACATTTCGAGAACACGACTCGACTAATTATTTATAATCAATTATTTCGGACAACGTGGCAACAAATGCTCATCAAGTCGGATCACGACTTTTTTATTGGGTAATCAAATATATAGACAGTTCTAAATGTGTACATTGAGATAACAATCGACTGTGAGTATCATGTAGTTGCAATCAAAATATTTTAATGAGCTTCTCTTAAGCGATTTGACATGTGGTATCGATTTTGATATCCACGATCTAACACGTCAAAAGTTATTCTGCTTTATACGGTCTTACAACAGTGATTAGTGTTCGTCAAAAAACAATTTCGTCAAAATTAAGATCGAATCTCGACATTTTGTCTCGAAATGTTTTAATAAAATGTATTTCACGTTCTAGTACCGCATTTTGCCGCGGCGATAAGACCGCTAGATGTACAACGCGTAATCCATTATTATGGGTCGGGCAAGAGGAAGGCAACTGGTGGCCGTAAGTACTTGCTCGCTTTCGCGTGTTCTCCGCGCGCATCACGCGCACATACGCGTCGTGACCGCGGCGAGTTTACCGGTGATATAGTTTGCAGCTGAAACAACCGTTTCTACTGCCTAGCAGTTGGCGTTTGGCCAGCACTTGGTGCCGATGCTCCTCCGCCCGACTGTTATATGAGGATTAGAGTATACTGTGCCCTCTCTCCCTTACGGCATGTAATTACGCCGGTTTTCCTTTCTCTCTCTCTCTCTCCCTCTTTCTCTCTATTTCTCTCTCTTTCATTCTCTGTGATTCCGTCCCTCTCATTTTATCCCCCGACATCTCGTGTATTACACTCTTTATCGTCGAGCTGGACCTGCGTGCGTATGCGCCTCCGCTCGGTATTTGCATCCCGTTAAACGTCGTAAACTTGTCAAAGCGCGAGCGCGTTATGTGCAGAATCGTGGGCGCCGTATTGCAGTCGCCGTGGGCCAACGTTTGCGGTTTATCCTCCGGGACGCGGCGGCGGCGGCGGGTATCCGAAAAGACAAAGCACCAGGGAGCGGCGAGAAACCGAGGGTATATCTGGCGCGCCATTATTCCGAACGAATCGACGGACTCGGGTGCACTTAACGGGGATTAACGTTTTTATATCACAATCTCTCGGCTTGCCGAAGCGATATGCTAATGAGTTGATAATACTGAAATTTGGCTAACGAGGAAAGCTGTATTTCACTGTCGTAATCGACAAACAGACTTTCGCGAGGGTTCTTGCGCGGTTTTTTAATTCGAATCCGAATCGTTCGCATGTAGCGGGGCGCACTTAAGACAAATTAAGGACCGTCCGTTGCTGTAAGAAGAGTTGAGTATGTACGTTGATATGTCATATTTAACAAACGCAGTTATCAATAAATATACACATGTATATCTTTCTTTTTCTCTCTTATGACACTTTGTTTACAACACTTTAAATGTAATAACAGAACATTAAATTATATAATTGCGAATGTCGTATATATAAAGTAACAATAATAAATTTCTCCGTTATCAAGTATTAATTTACTTATTCGTTAATTTCTGGTTTCCAGTGTGTTTACAATACACGTCCGCGATAATCATTAACTCTTATTATATGTGGTGTAATTACGTTGTAACATGTTAATTATATTGACCGTGTTCTCTCCGAGTAAATATCTTGGTAATATTATAATTAGTAATGTTGAATTTTATAAAAAAAAAAAAACTGTATGTGTGTGTGTCATGCGCGTGTCTAATTCCCGCTAATTTTAGACGCAAACGATGAATAGTGATTGTCAGGATTGGCGATGTAGTAACTGAGATTCTCGATATAACGCTATATAACGCTATTTCAGCATCTAATAGCACGGTATATAGGGTTATCTTATTTGACTGCCCTAGCGCGCGCGCTCGAATTATCTTAAATCTACATTTACATTTATAACAGTCACAGTCGCCTGATTTACTTTCATTAA